TTTCATTATTTAGGTGCCGTTGTAGTAACCTGCATTCTCTTTTGATGTGACCATCTTTCTTACAGTAGAAACAGGGACCTTTCTTGTAAAACTTCTTTTCTGTGTTTTGACTGATCATAGCTATTTGATATGAGTTATCATCGTTTTCGGTTATGTACGTTGGTTCCTCTCTCTGCATACGCACTGCAACTTTATTTCGTCTCCCTCGTGCTTGTTGAAAGGCCTCATATTCCAATGCCAGACGCACTGCATCTTCTAGGTCTGTAGGTTTTCCTTGAAACACTGCCCATTCCATTTCTTGGTCATTTAAACTTCCGATGAAAGAATCTTTCGTTATCTGGTCACGGAAACTTAGGGGTGCGTTCGGGTATGACATCCTCGTAAGTCGCTTTATGTCTTGCATTAACTCTGTGATCGTTTCGTTTTTCTTCCGTATTCTGCTCTTTAGTTGCGTCTTGTAGATTTCTGTTTGGTTTTCTGGGTCAAATCGTGCTGCTAGTGCGGAAACAAGGTGACGAAAATTATACCGAAATTCTGGTTGTAGGTCACTCAAAACGCTTAGTGCCGGGCCGCGTAGACTGGTAGCTAACTCTAATGCCTTTGTTTCCTCATGCCAGTGGTTCAATTGGGCGATCATGTCGAAATGCACTATATAGTCGTTCCAGTTCATGGTACCATCGAACGTTGCTGGTTTTCTCCCTTTAGGTTCCGGGGAACGCCTGAATCCGTGGTCATAAACTTGTCTTGTATGACCATAATTTGGTACATCGTAATCTAATCTGTGCATGGTCGGCCGAAATTCGTTGGTCCTAGCATTGGTAGTATAACTGCGTGATACTGTCGGGTTGGACGAACTTGTCTTTGAATGTTCATAATCACAAAATTCGTCACATGAATTTTGTAGGTACGTATTTCTATATGGGCGATATTCACTGTGTATTTGGTCATCTTTAGACGTAGTATTGGTACCGGATTGCACGCAATTTTGGTCTACATATTGGTTATTAGCACTCGTTGGTCTCACTTGAGATTGTAATTGGTTCATTTGGGACTTCAAAGTTTTTAATTCTTGTAGAATTATGTGTAGACTGTCGTTGGTACATGTGTTGACTGCGCTGCCGTCTCCTATCTGGTCGTTGTTATTAACCCGCAAAAGAACTTCTTTGCTTGGAGTACCGTCGATAAACTGTGGTTCTTTTGGTTCTGTATTATGGTCACTTTCCTCCACCAATTTTTCGTTCCTTGACATCTTTGTAATGGTTTATGTTCACAATTCACAGAATAGCGGATCCCACCGCTGCCACCAATGTAACGAGACCGAGGGTATCGTGTAATAAACTCGTGGGCCGCTATTAGTTTTCTGGTCACTTGGTCGAGATTTGATGGTTCCGTTGGTCACAATTTATGTAATGGTTAATGAGCAATTTTGGTCACTAAATTGTTTAATGGAATTACCAATTTTTGGTCACTTATAATTGGTTAACAGAATTACCAACTTTTGGTCACTTGTTTGGTTGACGTTATGACCAATTTTTGGTCACTTGTTTGGTTGACGTAATGACCAATTTTTGGTCACTTCTTTGGTTGACGTAATGACCAATTTTTGGTCACTTCTTTGGTTGACGTAATGACCAATTTTTGGTCACTTTAAATAATGTTTGTTAGGAATAACATTTGTTTAAAGTTTATAACATTTATTAAGACGATCAAATGGTTCATTTATAAACACACAAAATGGTACACTGTAACTTGGTTGGTACAACGTTATTTGGTTAAGAAAAAGGTGACCAACCGATGGTCAATACAGGACGTTCCTACTATCTTGGTCCCCTTAATGGTTTCGTATACATAGACTTGGTACCGACTTATAACCGAAGTATACGGAGTCGTTCCCCAAAGTGACTTAGGTCACTTTTCCCTTACCAGGGAAGGCTGTGTGCTCCGAGTCGCTCCCCACAGCCGACTGAAGTCTAAACCCAAAACAGCTGGTTTATAGCGAGCGCAGCGAGCGTCGCGAAGCGACGCTCGCGAAGCGAGCTCAATAGACTAACGTGTAAGAACAGAGGAAATTCGGATTGAAATCTGTACATACGTCAGCCAAATTTCTCTGTGCAACATTCCCAGAATTCCTGCACTACCCAATGTCCTTTGCGCGAATATTGCCGAATAAATAAATAAATAATGACGTAAAGCATATATCAGACTTTCAGTTTGTAGAAATCTTTCAAAGAAACAAGAAATAACTCTGCAATGTTTTTCGACAAAAAATGCACTTGTTCTATAGTTTCAAACAGACGCTCGGCTGTCTCCGTAAGCTCCGACGAGCTTTGTGACGTCGTATGACGTCACAGCTAGTCGAGATATCTCGTGCGGCTTGACGTTCGAAGTGGCTGATCTCAAGTGTTTTTGATGGTACAACTGCGCTCGCCCCAACGGTCACACCGTAAAACATATTATAGACAAAAGTTGTTATGATGACGTAAGAGACAATCAGATACCTATATTACGTCACAATCAATACAATCAATAAGTTAGCGGGTTTTGACTATCAAAAATACCTCATAAAATAATAACGTTGTACCCATATAAAACATACAAAATACATCACTTTGTCTTTAAATTATACAAGTTAAGTTAATAAAGTCATATTAAATCAATTAGTGTTCATTTCCTTCGTTAACTGTTCATTGACAAATATGTACGTAGTTTATAAACATCGGGTTCAGGGTCCATTTATTCCGAACTTGTAAACAAGAGTTAACCCGAATTTCACAGGTACACTTCGTGAAACGTAACAATATTTAGAGCGATTCACTGCATTGAGATGACAAAACATATAATAATTGATCATTGTTTATGATATCTATGACTAAAGTAAGTATAAATTCCATTTCACCATTGATTTGTCTAAATTAAATATAATAAATACAATGCGTTCAATTAATTTATTGTTCAATCACGAAATTTGCATACGTACAAGTGTACGTATAACTAAATCATATATTGACGTTGACGTCAAATAGAACGTGTACGTCAATGTTACGCGTACACGTTGTTACGTCACTTGTAACTAAACCTCTCTAATAACAGAGTCTAAATAAACCACTATACGATCAAGACGCATTTCTATTCTTTCCACAACAATGGTGTTGTCAGTAAATGAATTGGATTGAATTGAAGTTATATAAGTCATCGTTAGAGAGAAGGGGGGGGGGGGGGCAATTTGCTTCATATACATGAAACTGACTCTTTCAATATTAGGAAAGGTTCGTGTGTTTGTTTCGTGAGCTTATGATGAACATTGTGTTAAGGTTATCAAGGAATTTATGGCTCACACCATCTTTTCTCGGAGGGCGTTTTTTTTTTATTTTACACAGCCGGGGGGACAGGGGGAGTTCAAATTTTCGCGGCATCTGATTAATTAATGTAGTTTACGCACTTAGATATTTCGTGATATCATGAAATATAACACCTTTGAAAAACTGCTAAATTTTTTTCTGACGACTAATCCAAGACAAAATCTTATGAGAAAGCAAAGAGGGATAACTCTTTAATGTTGGTAAAACACTTTAAACTAATGAAAAACGGAAAATAAATTCTATTTTCAACACCTTACCGTGTACATGAAAAATGGTACATGTTTGATTTGAATTCTTATAAAGTTTTTGTTGTTTCACGGGGTCGGGACACATGCACTTTCAGTTATAAATTATTATAAACCCATAGTATTATAATTAATTCAAATATGAATTTTTTATATTTGCACAAACAAAATACAATATTACTAGTATTGTCAAAGGCATATGTAACATATATATAAGACAAAGGCGGATCCAGGGCCGGCGCGTGCGCCCCCCCCCCTTTCCGTTTGAATTTCTTTTTTGAAATTTTATTTGTACTATCCTAAAATCGAAGGAAGAAACACCTATAATTCATTAGAATTTCCTCATTTTCCAAGAGCTTTGCCTCCAGACCTCCACTAAGACTTTGCCCTGGACCCACAGGACCCACAGGACCCACAGGACCCACAAGGGCTTCCATGCAGCCTTACCTTCTACTGCGCCCTCCCGTTTTGAAATTCTGGATCCGCCGCTGTAAGAAGCATCAATTGTTCATGCATTTAAACAATATTTTAGAAAAGAATGTGAGGTTATACAAAAATTATACAATCATTTGGACAATAATTGTGCAATGCATATGCAATTAGAATTTCAGGGCACAGGTTAATATAAAACTATTTAAAGCAAAGTACGTTTATTTAATTTTTTTTAGTATTTATAGGACATATTTGAAAATTTTCCTGGAAAAAAATTCATCAAATTCAAAGTTAAATTTTAAATGTTAACCTACTGAATAGGAAATGAAATCCATCATCAATCTCCCCTGTGTTGCAAATATTACACAAACCTTTTTTTTTTTTAAAGTTATATACATGTTATACTATGGGTTAAACAATTAGTGCTTGTGGATTCGGGGGAGGGGGGTGCATACAATAATATGACAAAACGGAAATTTCATTTTATCACCAGTTTGAAATGAGAAAACATCTACAATATTATACTTTATTTATAATTGTTATCTTGATATATTCATAAGTATAATTTTAAACTTGTGATTCAGTGGGTAAAATTTTTACCTCATCCCACTCCCTGTATAAAAAAGATTTTTAACAAGAGCAACTATATAATTAAGTGGAATAATCAATAAATTACTTATGTTTAATGTTCAAATCGATATTATTATTATTATTATTAAAGTACGCCTTTGATAATACATGAACTTGCAACTATCTCGAATACTTTCAAGACCGAATTGACTACAACAAATGAAAAAAATTGTAGGAAATTCGGACGGTATTTGTTGGAGAATGTGAGTATGGTTTTTAATTTTAGTTACTTTAAGAATCTGTATTTAACGAGACTGTTTAAGTTATTCATACCTGGAGGGGTGAAAGAGAGATTTCTCCTCGTGATTTTTTTCCTTTTATTTTTTAGGTAAATTCCTAAAAAAGATCATAAGATGTGAAATCACTTTTTATGATTTATCAGCATGCCATCCAATGAGGATTTCTCTGTGAGTATTTTGGTGGGTGACACAGTCCTACCGGAATACGTCCGTGGTGGGGTGTGTTATGTAGAGTGTGATTTCTTCTCCCCCTTCAGCTTTAAACAGAAAACAGAGGAAAGGGTTGGAGATGAAATAGAAACTCAGGTGAGAAAAGGGTTAAATTTATAACTGAGAAAAAATATAGACACTTGCTGCATTTGAATTTTTCTTCTTTGCTTAAAATTAAACTTAAAAATAATCTATGTGATACATGATCTTTGTGACAATGATGAATCTGTGAAAAATCCACATACACAGCGTCATGCCATAAGTATTCATATACTATGGAATAATTTTAATTCTCGGGGATCAATGTTCATAGTCAAGCAAAATTTTATTTGTTCATGGATTCGTAATTTCATGGGTTTGCCTTTACTTGTTTTTATCGTAGTTTCAATGAATCACAGTTAACAAATGTTTCTGGGGATGTAAATTTGTGGGTATGTGTGACCCATGAAATCTATCAACATTGCTTCCCGACACCAACAAATTATTATTCTGCATTAGTGTACTACATGTACATGTTGACGGTGCATCGGTTAGGGCGAGCGCAGATACTTATCCAGTTTTTATTTAGATCTGACTCGTCAAATCGCATGTGACATTCGGTGCGTATAAGACTCTGACGTCACACGGCGTCGTTTGCGTGTTGCTTTACCAAACTAAAGCCTGAACAGGGCTGATTTCAATCTGATTTCAATCAGTTTATGACTATTTTTTTGCAAAAACAGATAAATTCATTAAATCAAGGCAAGTTTATTTTTCATTTTACTTTTGTCATTATTCTCGCAAGAACGTGGCTTTAGCGTTTGTGTACGAAGTGATGCATTGTGGGTCAAAATTACTGTTGTATAAAATGTGCAGCAACTTTTTGATGTCGTTAAAAAGTGTCGCTTCACGACGCTCGCGACGCTCGCTGCGCTCGAAATTATAGTATAAAATAGTTTTTGCCAGATTCTGTGCCGGGCTGCCCACCTAAATTATTAGAAAATGGGTATTTGTTGGATGAAAAAAAGAACTGATGTAAAGTAAACATGCATGCCTCAGACCTGTGCACTGCATTTAACAAGAGGAATTTTTCTATACTTCAGGAACAGCCAGTGACACCATTTTCCATTTGTATATCAGCAAAACCAGGACACAGATCTTACCATCATTTCTACTACAGGGTGTTCATTGACGGACAGAAAGTTACGTCACGGAGCATTCAACAGGGAGAGAATAAGTAAGCTTCTTTAAGAAACAGAGCCCGATTTTTTTGTTCTTCAAAATCCTTATCACTATTTGGATTCAATTTCACTGAAATACTCTTCGTCTAAAATTTTGGTTCTGAATTCATTGAGATTTTGTGTAAAGAGGACGCTATATAGGAAGCATAGAAAGGCAAAGATGAAATGAATATTTCACATTCTACATCTTTTTATACATGTTATAAACATTCAAGGTTTCAAGAATGATGATTAACTTTTTATTCCATGCAGGCTTATTAAAGGCTTTCGAGATGGAATTATGGTGAAAGAATTTTTATTCTCAATGCCCAGTCTAAAGCAATCACAGGTTTGTTAGATAGGCAATTACTGGTAAGGCCATCTGTAAAATAAAGTTTGTGTGCCCTCTCCTAACTAAGGCTAAAAAAAAGATAGGGTTGCTTTGTAGGTGGGGGAATTTTTTTTCTAAAAAAAATTGAAACAAACTTATTGACTGGATGAGAAAATCCAGGAATAAAAAGAAAAAAAATCGTTTCTAGGAGGTCGAAAAAGCAATTTTTTAGGCACTTGGTTGGGCGAGGGAAAATTAACAACTTGTTTAAAATGGCCCAATGACAATGATTGATTTATTTAAGAAAAGTTTTTAATATTTTCTAAATATTTTAATATGATTTAAGTGTTTATTTACAGGTAATTGGTTATATATTTATATGATTTATAATATCTTAATTCATTACTTTTAATTAATACTTTTGCCTTAATTAGTCTGAGGCTCCATCACCAGATCGTGTGGGGTGGATCGATGTGGAGTGTTGGGATGCCACCTTAAAGACAACAAAGACATCAGTCAGAAATCGCAAACTGGACTTTACCTCCGGCTCCAAAAAGGACAGCATGAGAATCACACAAGGTTAGAGAAAAAAATTTGTTTTATAGAATACTCACTGCAAAGATGCAAAAGAACACACAGATCACACATTTATGATGGCTGGTAAACTAACAGTTGATCCCATTTGTATGTGTTTTACATGTATTACATGTAACATTATTGAGAGGATATCAGTTGTGTCTAGATAGATATTGCAACTGAAATAGAAATTTTTCTATTACCATGATTACATTTGATCTGCTGATTCAGATAATCAATTGTAATTTACAGAGATGGGATTCCTAGTTACATGTATTACCATTATTACATGTGATTAAAGATATATGTTCTAATTTAAGAAAGCAAAGTTTAAACCATTAACTTGGATATTAGAAAAGAAATATTTTTAAGGTTGTTTTATCCAATTCCTTGTTCTTCTTTTAGGCAAGTACCTGATGACCACTACAAAGGCAGGCCGTGTCTTGCAGCTCAAGAACGCATATCGTTCCACAGACTACTGGGATCTTCATTCCCTCCGAAGTAAACTCTCCATCAAATACGTCACTGCTCAGGACCTGAGGGACATGGGTATAGCGGTGGTCCCTATTCCCTACCCCTCACATCTCCGCCACAGTCAAGGGAGGGATCTGGGAGGACAGAGTGTTGATTTATCTCAAGGACTTGCCGGAACAGCTTACGACTCACAAGGAAGTAACGGAAAAGAGACCGGTGAAGAAAAAATAATTGTGGATTCAAACATTGTGACACTGGATGGGAATAATGATCCGGGAATTTCAGATAGGGTTAAGGAAGATGTGGAAGTGATGTCTCAGAGCAGTGGTTCTTCAGTTGAGAATGTGAAAGTGAAGAAAGAGGCCACATTTTTGGGAACAGACATTGTGATTGATCTGTGTGATTTAGACGATCATGAAGATTTGACAACCAGCAAGGTTATTGTGTTAGATTGAAAAATAATTTAACACTGGTGTTAATAGCAGACTCTGGAATGACACAGAATGTACATGGACAAAGTGTTGCGTTGAACAATAGTGTCATATTTTTTGGTTACAAAAAATTCCAGTGTTGATCTGGGTGACTTTGACAATTAATGAAGATAGTTTGACTATGGACAATTATTGTTTTAGCTGTTTAGACCGAAAAAGTATTCACTGACAGTTGTTTTCAGACTCAAGAAAGTTACCAAATGTCAATGGAGAAAGTATTGCAATGACCCCGATGATGAAGATTGTAAATTATACTTGTACTTATGTTGCAAATAATTGTGTTTTGAGTTCATGTCCATTTGGACAAAGCAATATTTTTCACTATGATCCAGTGCAAAGTGATGGATCAGACTTGCATGATAATTTTGTTGAGGATTTTATTTTTCATCATTTGATACACATATTTTCCTGTATTTGACAGCCATTTTTTGTATAATTTTTTTTTAACATGTATAGGGAGAACTAGAATTAAAATTTAAAAAATGCCAATATATGTTTAAACTGGTCATTGTTTGTTTGGAATTGCCTCCCGCCTCAGAAATTCAAAAAATTTTATTGTTTTTTTTTTATTTAATAAATTGTTTCCAGTTATATATGTTGAAATACAACTCTATGTAAAATTTAAGGTTTTTCTGTTAATGGTAGATACTTTTTTAAAAAGTTTATTTACTGTTTACTAAGATTTTAATCAAAAATTTAAAATTTATCTTCAATTTAAAAAAAAAAAATTAATTTCTAGAAACCCTTTTCCAAACAAACAATTTTTTAATGATGGCCTAGACAAAAATTCAGTTTCTATTTATGTCATTACTACACTTCTCCAGCATGCTAGAGGCTCACAGTGCGATACTTTTGACTTTAGCTGAGGAAGCAGTCATTACACAACCAATGGATTAGAAAAAGTAAAACTAAGGATTTATGAGGAAGTGTCCAGGACAATTGAGTTTTACTGTATTAAACTGATTTTTTTTTTTCATATTTACCCCAATAAATCATTATCACACTGCACAGTCTTCCAGGTCAGAAAGACTCTTTAATTTACAATGGCTAATATTTCCCATGATTGTGTATTTCTGTACATGCAATTCCATTTTAAATTAAGAGCTTATATTTGTAATTAATGATGAAATCACATGTAATGGCCAGTGGGATTCGCTCGCTGGTGGCCGGATACAGTAGTTCAGTCGGTAGAGCACATCTGGACGTGATTCAGGGGGCTCGGATCAAAACCTGGTCTACATTGTAGTCCTCTACATATGTGACTATGTGTCCTCTCCCACTACATAGTTTAAAAGGGATGTCCTACACATCAATCAAATAAATTTTGCTGTATGCATCATCATTTCTGCAGAATAGTTTTGAATAGTAAGAAAACAATATTGGGATTTGTCAACTGTATTCTAAACAGCAAAAGTCAGAAACATGGTATGTAGGAATCAATTGGGACTGGTGAAAATTTAAAAGGAGAAAAATAAATTAAATTTGTTTATTTTATTATTTATATAAGGAAAATAAACGTAGTTTCAATATTACTCGTGAATACGAATCATTCAGTGTATACGAGTTAGCAAATAATTTTTGGTCCGGAGTTGTGTGCCCTTGGCAGCCATTTTATGCGATTCAAAGCGGCGAAAGCCAAACGAATCCTGCAAAAATGCCTCCAGTAACGATGAATTTACCCGCGGAGAATCAAGGCAAGACGGAGGAGGAGCTTGCTGTGGCAAAACCTGTGATTGGGATCATCTACCCCCCTCCGGAAGTCAGGAGTATCCTCTAGCTGTGTCTGTTGCGCAGTCCAAACGTTGTCTGCGGTCTCAGAAAGTTATTTCTTTGTAGGGCTGTGTATTGAGCCAAAAATTTCGATACGATACGATACAATATTTTTTAAAGCGATATGCAATATATTGGATTCTGAAACAATTCCATCAGAAAAGGCTTCTAAATCATTTTAATGCATACATTTCATAACAAATAGGTGTTTTATTACCCATTTTACAGTTCTTGTCTCATTGTCTTTAAAGATAACACTTCAGTTAAAACTTTTGATGACATTAAAATCAACATGTTCGAAAAAATGTCTTTTTGTATTTTGTAATAATTATTAAAACTGTGTTATTTCCTTAGAAATTATATAATTATTGAAGGTTTAAATTAAAAAAAGTAAAATATAATCTTTGGTGATTGAAATTCCCATCTTTTAAACAGAATTTGAAGAAAAAATGTCTGCCCGATACGTATTGGAAGTTATTTTTTTATACGATATGATTCTTGAATATCGATACGTATCGATATATCGATATATTGATACAGCCCTATTTCTTTGCACTAGTGTCTTTATTGAAAAAAAAACAACACCTTTTCGGTCTTTTGTGCTTATGGTTTCAAATGATATAAGACTTAAAGAACATATGTAATATCACTAATATTTGTGTAAACAACATTAAACACGTAAGAAAAAAAGCCAAATCCTATGGAATCCGGATAGGGCCATGCAGTTCACTATCGCATCATCACGCCGTCCAGGTGTGTGTTGATAATGCGATGACACGATAATGTGATGATGATGAAGCAATGATGCAATAAAAATGAAGTGATTGCATGATAATGCGATGACGATGGTGTGATGACGATGACACGATGGTGTGATGACGGACGATGCGAGCAATGGTATCATTGCCATTATATAAATGGTGCCTGTTTTCGAGGGTAACAGTCGAAATTGACACCCCAAGGAAAACCATTGTCAACCAACGTGTCACATTAAAGGTTTTCGATATTCACATTTACATTTCTGTCGGTGAACCGTCTAATATCCACGCATGTGGCATTACCGTTGTGTTACCCGTTGTCACATGCGTTGCTACTATCGCACCATAGCTCCATGAAAGTACTATCGCACCATAGCTCCATCACTCAATCGTTATAGCGCCATCGACCAATTAGTCGATGGTGCGATAGTGAACTGCAATGCCCTATCCTGATTCCATAAGATCCACATGTAATATAATTTTTAGGTTTTTTTTTCTCTCTCTTCTAAGTCTATAAAAATACTCATACTAGCTCAAAAAAAAATACCTGTTCCCAAATATGATTAAAAACAGGTCAGGTTTACACCTTATGTCTGAAACACCCTTATTTTAGGACAAGACAGGTCCAGTCCAAGACTATTTCTACCTACATAGCTATTAATACCTGCATAGGTATTTTACCGGAAGTAGCCATTTTTACCAGCTTTTTATATTAACCGCATTTTGTAGCCAAAAGACCAAACAGCGCAACATGATGAACACCATATTTTTGATACAGTCACACTAATGATGAATATGACTAAACTTTGGCCAAAAAATTATTATTTCCTGAGTCTGAGATCTTACATTGGTTTCTATGCGAAATGATTATCTACAAAGTAATCATTTTTTGGCCAAATTTTGTCATATCCATCATCATTGTGACTGTATTAAGAAATTTGGTAATCACCAAAATGCAACGTTTTCTTTTTGGCCACAAAATGCAAGTTAAGCAGGAAGTAGGTAAAAATAGCTACTTTAGGTAGGTTTAAATACCTATTAATAGCTATGTAGGTAGAAATAGTCTTTTAACTGGACCTGCAGAACTTGAGAGGTAAAAATGTAATGCTGCAAGTTTGTCCATGTGCAAAACGAGTTCAGAAAACCTTCCCAGTGAAAAATCAGCCATTTCATTTAGAGAACATTATTTTTATAGTTTTTTAAGAGCAACATGATTTTTCTTTAGCATACAAATAGACATTGTAGACAAGACTGCTAGTTTCGTGGCCAGGAATGGACCCGAGTTTGAGAGCCGTATTCGTAAAAATGAGATGAACAATGCCAAGTTCAACTTTTTGAACCCCTCGGACCCTTATCATGCCTACTATCAACATAAAGTGCGAGAGTTCAAAGAGGGAAGGGGTAAATATATTCTATATTGCAGTCAGATTTCAAATTGTTGAAGTACTCAGTGCAAAAAAAAAATTTAACATAAAATAGCATGATAAAATGAAATTTTTCTTTTTTATTTCAGGACAAGAACCAGTGGCACCAAAGGTATGAAATTTAAATAATTTTTTTATGAATGTTAATAAATTATTTGTTTTACACATAATATTTGTACTCTTTTGATTCTCATCTTGTACAATTATTCTAACACTGCATCAAAAACATTGCTGCCCATGCTGCGTTTCTCTCCAATATTAAAAAATCAAAAAATATGTTACAAAAATCTTAAAAATGTGGATTTTAAGTTAACAGCTATTCACTTGATTGTTTTAGCCGACCCAGGGAGCCCCATTCTCACAGAAGCCAGCGGAGCAGGCCAAGATTATGCAGGAAATAATTGTCCCCAAGGAGCCCCCGCCAGAGTTTGAGTTTATTGCCGACCCTCCATCCATTTCTGCATTTGATTTGTAAGTTCTCCTCCTCTGTAATGCATAATGGAATCATTTGGTTCCATACAAATGTTAGACCAGTGTTTAAACACTGAATTGTCTCTGGATTTTTCCATTCACTTGATCATGAAAAAGAGCACACTGTTGCTGTGCACTTATGCGCTTGAGAACTATTCATTATCTCTATATTTGAGGATGTGTTCAATGTATTAAAGCCCCATCGTGTGTACGTTTAACAAATTGCGCTGGAGCATTTTAAATCAGGCTTTTGTAAAAGCTTTTTTTTAGCATTCATTTCCTATGGACATCATTATTTTCTAGTTTCTTCCATTGAATCAAAATGATAAAAACTTGAGAATATGAGTAAGAGGAATGATTGAAAAACTTTGACCACAAAAAAAGAACCAATTTATTTCTCTTGTTTCATAAATTTTGATTTTCTGGACACATTGTAGGGATGTGGTGAAATTGACAGCTCAGTTTGTGGCCAGGAATGGACGTCAATTTCTGACCAACTTGATGAATCGAGAGCAGCGTAATTATCAGTTTGATTTCTTGCGGCCTCAACACAGCTTGTTCAACTATTTCACTAAACTGGTGGAGCAATATACAAAGGTTAGTGAAAACCGACTGCATTTTGTTGAATTCTCATTTAAAGTTTTGCATTTCTGTCATTGTCAGGTTTATGTGTACAAGTGTAATAATTGTCAAAATTGCATTTTCTTGAATTCTCATGTAAAGTTTTGCATTTCTATAATTTTCAGGTTTATGTGTACAAGTGTAATGATTGTCAAAAGGCTGTATAAAGATAAACATTGTAAATTTCAGATTCTTATTCCACCCAAAGACTTGCTGGATAAATTACAGAAGGAGTCATTTGATTACAAAGATGTAAGTTGTTACTTCATTCTTTATGTACTTTGTGAGATAAACATTTATTGGTATAATGCAGTCATAAACTTTTGCATAGTTTGGTTGAAATTATATGCTGAAATGAATTTTGTATTTTGAAAATCAGTTGGGGGAAAAACAATCAAACTGAAATGAGACTCTAACCATTTACATCAAATTAATTTTCATGGAAAATTGTTAATGATTCAATTTAAAAAAACATAAAGTGAAAAACCTTTTAAGTATTCTGAAAAGGTTTAGCTTATTAAGGCCATATAAAATTGAAATCTTGGTTCTCAGGCCCGCGCGCATCCGTTTTGAGGTAGCTGCATTGCAGATTTTATTGAATTTTTGCTAAAATAAATAGTTGGTATTGCAGAGACCAATCTGGGAAAAAAATTCCGACCTCATTTGTTTCGTAGTTTAGTATTCAAATATCACTTCCGGTAGCCCATTTACAATGAGATTTTGGCTACTTCGTTTGAAAATACATTCGAGGACATTACCTACGATGTTTACACGCTGTTAAGCAGTGGATAAAGCAGAAATTTTGACCAGAAATGGAAAGTATATCTGTGATTAAAAAAATATCTTTATGTTAAAGAAAATTCGGAAATTAAAATTTAAAAAAATACCTCCCTCATCTACTTTATTGCCAATAAAATGAAAAATAAAATGCCGCCCTCCCGCTTCTGTTTTGGAGAAAATAGGCCTGAGAACCAGGGAATTAAATTTAGATAGCCTAATCAAATTCTTGTGCACCAGAATTGTAAAATAATAGATTTTTTGTTGCATTTAATCTGTCAAAGTAAGAACGTTGTTGACAGTTACTGTAAACATATTTATGTTGTTTACAGGTGCTGAATCAGTCTAAGTACCGAGTGGAATGGCAGAGGCACCAAGACAGGGAGAAGAGGAAGGAAGAGGAGGCCATAGAAAGGGAGAGAGGTTTGTCCTGTTCATTATACATATAGTAATGGCATCAAGCAGGGCTAATACATTTCTGTCATTCATTGAAGAAAATTTTGTCTTGTAAAAGCATATGAACGAAGTATATTTGAAAAGTGAAATCAGATATAGCTTTACAAAAAACTGCTTTTAAATTCTTTTGTAAAAAGATACTTCAGAATTTATATTTTTGTGTGTGTATGTTAACTGAACTTAAGATTTTATTTGTTTACAGTTGCCTATGCCCAGATTGACTGGCATGATTTTGTGGTCGTGGAGACAGTAGACTTCCAGCCAAATGAGAGCGGTGGGTATTAAGTATTTTTAACAACGACCCCAAAAAACAGATACATGTACTAGTATTTCAGTTATTATATAAAAATGATTAATAATCATTTCTTTTGAATGTGTTTTGAACATGAAACACATGCAAAATGAAGCCAGTGTTGTGAACATCAACGTATACAAAAATGAACCCAGTGCTTTGAATATGAGCACATACAGAATGAACCCTTTGATTTGCACATAAACACTTGCATTGATTAACGATAATGAATTATGTGCTTTGAACATAAATACATACAAAATGAACAAAAATTAAAGAAATGTTTCAGAAATTGTTATAGTCCAGACAATATAAGATATGAAGTTTAAATTTGATTGTGACTTTGTAGGAAACCTCCCCCCTCCCACCACACCGGCTGAGGTCGGAGCAAGGATGTTGGTACAAGAAAGAATCCACAGAGGAGAGGTAGGCATAAAAAAGAGTCATTTAATTACCATAATGTCCATAAATTGTGTATATCGAACACGCTTATAATAAATTGATGCTTACAGTGAAGTGATTTTCATGTTCCAGTGCTTTACAGTATTTAGTGATCTTAATGGATATAACCCCCCGTTCACACAGAGCTGCGACTCTACGGCGATCATCCCGATCAAGCCACGATCTGAAATTTTTTTGGATCGGGGCAGATTGCAGCCGATCGGCGTCTAAATAGAGCAATTTGGCAAATTATGGTCTTCGTTAGGACCATACTACGATGTCCCTACGTCAAACGCGCTGCTAACACGCTTCTACTACGATGTTACGCAGACCGTTGCCGACAAGCGGCCGTGTTTACTGCGTTTACGCTACGCTGCCACTATGACATTGAAGACCATACTACGACGCTACACAGACTTAGATGACTGTACTGCGATGTCGCTACGGTGGTGCCGATCATATTACGTTTGCAATACGCTTCTAGTACGATTTTGGCTATGATGTAAATATATCTTGCAACCGGAGATTTTTGTAGTACGATTTTAGCGATGATGGATATCTTGCGACCGCAGTTTGTTTTGGGCCTTTACCACATGGTTTAAGGGCAATTTCAATCATAACTGTAACAAGATGTGAAAATGCTCAATTGTAAATGATCATCAAGTATAGTGTCACCCTGTATATGTAGTTTACAGATGATGATTGGTCAAATATCAGAGCTATAAAACAAACTCCTGTCTGAAAGGTCGTGGTATGATCGGCGTAAGGTCATTGTAGGTCTTCATAGGATCGTCAGGAACGTAGAGAGATCGTAGTGAGAACGTAGTACGAACGTAGAGGGAGCGTTGTATAAGCGTGCTTGGTAAGATCCTACGCTCTTACGGTGCTTTTACTACGATCATGAAGATCTCTCTACGATGCTTCCGCGCTGCTTGTACGATTATGGTGCTTCTACTACGCTCTTTTTACGACTTCACCCCGATTCTTGTTGGCCACGATCCCGCTACGCTTGTTTTGAACATGTTCAAAATAAGCGTGGTGAGAGCGTAGAGCTCTGCGAGCATGAAGACCCTACTGCGATCATACTACGCTTATGACGACCCCACGACGTTTCTCCTGCGATTTGTCACGATCGGCCACGCTTTTGGACACGATTTGATCGTAGTAGAAGTGGCGTCTATGTGTGAACGGGGGGTAATGAATAATCTTTATAATGAAGCAAAAAAGTCCTGTATATGTTATTTATGGCTCTGACTGTGTGATGCAATAAGAATTTTTGAATGTTTTTGTTATATTTATAGTTGGATGCTGATGAAATGGAAGTGGAATCTGATGAAGAAGACGAGTCTGACGAAGAAGAGAGAGTGACAGTGAAAGCCATGGAGCAGGCCAATACACAGATACAGGTAAAATGAAATAGAAAGAGGCAAATAAGCAAATATGAAACATTAAGTGGGGAACAGCTTGAATCCTGAAATGAAGGCTACAGAGTAAGGTAAATCCAAAATACTGAAATTGATAATAATGAAACATTTTCTTAAACAAGTACTGAATTTTCATTCATGAATTAAAGAAGAAATATTCAAAAAAATAAAAAAAAAAGCTGTGTCAAATGAAAGTTCTTGGTTGCCTTTCCATTATAATCATAAATTTATTGAAGTATTTTATCACATCTTCCACATTTGTTTAGGATATGGAGGAAGCTTCTGAGGAAGAGGAGGAAATGCCCGTACACAGGAAGGCACCCCACCCCCCACAGCAACCCCCACCCCCACCAGGACCTCCCCCTCCCACGGATAATCTCCCACCCCTACCCCCCACCCCAGACCAAGTCATCATCAGGAAAAACTACGACCCAAAAGGCAAGGCTTACTCAGAATCAGAAAAATACTGGGGAGAAATATTTCCATAACCCACTCTTTTTCTTCTCTTCTAGAAATTTTCAAATCCTTCAGTCTTTTAAAAGATTTTTAATTTGACTTTTAGCATATACATTGTATTTTACTTTAGGACTATCCTGTGAATAGTCATTATTCTTAAATTTTAGGCTTCACATAGTATTGTCATGTAAACGTTTTGACTTTTTCAGCGCGTGCCATACAGCCAGAGACTGGTGTGGAGCAGTATATGGTGTCACCAATCACAGGAGAGAAAATCCCCGCCAGCAAGGTCCAGGAGCACATGAGGATCGGTCAGTACTCTTTTAAAGCTGCTCTTTCAAAACACTGTTCATTGTAATCAGTCGACACCGATGTAGACGGACGTATGTTATACAGCATTCTGTAGTGGCAATAATATGTAATACTTCGTTTAATGCAGGAAAGTAAGATACAAAGAGACTTATAATTATAGTTGTACAGGTCAATGCAGTATACAAACAAACACAGATACAGCTAACTGCAATAAAATGTAAACAAAGGCAATGCAAGATAACCAAGCACGAACATAGGTCGCCACCCGTGTATTATTTTTACATGCATATATTTATTAGAATTCAAACATGTAAATTTTGTGGAAAAAATTAATGGTAGTTGCTGATGCAATGCATGTACACAGTAATAAAGAGTTGGAAAGAGTTAAAACTTTTTCTGAAGTTTAAATTTAGCATGTTCGATTTCGAAACAGGGCTCCCACTGGACCGAAAATATTTTTCGCCACTTTTCGCGACACAAGCTTTAAGGAAAGGCATACTTACATCTGATTTCTCGACAATGCAAGCACTTTTTGTTATTCATTTTTTTTTATTATGTTTATCTGACAGAGACATTGTTTTAAAATTGTAATGTTTAAAACTTATGGTAGTATCCATTTAAAAAAGAAAAAAATAATAATGTTGGAATTACACAATTAATTTGATATTGTATTGATATCAGCCAACTCTTGACAGAAAATGTTCTCTTGTTTATATTTTTTGTTCGCCTGGTAAGGGGGGGGGGACAGACCTAGTAAAAATATGACATTTTTTAAAAGTGGAAATTTTCATCATTTCATTAATTAATTGTGAAAAGAAGTAAATTAAAAAGTAATGAAAATTAGGTTTGAAACTTGACTTTATTTTAACAACTTGGAGACTCCAGCGTATAATATGCAAGCTCATGTTATTGTAAGTAATTCAGTGTAATTTACTAACTAAAGATAATTCCGTTTCCAAACCAATTTCTTTTTCACTCTTGGTCAGTTAATGATATATTAATGTACACATTTTTTAATTTTAAGTAGGTAAAATTTGAAGCCATTCTTTACAATTTTCGTCATGTTTCCCTACTTTCGGTTTTAAAAAACGATCTACATAGATCCAGATTTTGTTGATAAAAATCTTTTATATACTAACTTCATCTCCTAATAACACTGTATCCCCCTTGTTTAATCCAAATTATATTATTTCAAGCAATTTTGTAACCCTTTATTGCTCCAGGCTAGTTACCTAGTCAGCTCTGTTCGTTCAAGCGAGACGTGATTTCCTACATGTAGGTTTCAGTTTTCACACCTCTGCTGCATTAAATAAACAAAGGGACTTATCTGTATACATTGAATAAACAAAAGAGCTAACCAGGGCTACACAAATTTTGTACATGGTACATCTAAAAAATTCATTTTCGCCACTTATGAATTTCTTTTCGCCACTTTTGAAAAAAATTCGCAATTGGCGACAATGGCGAATCACAGCTCAAGCCCTGTTTCGAAACCAGCAAAGTCAATGTAATTTATTAACACCACTGCAAAGTTTGAATAAGATCAAGATACTTAGTATATGCGTATACAGCACCAATTTCAAATCTTGTGCTTAACATTAGAGTAATCAGTGAGGCTCTTGCCCATGACATGTAGAAGTCTAATCAGTGAGTCTATTGTAGGTCTGTTGGATCCAGCCTGGATCAAGGAGAGACAGAAGGTGGTCAAAGAGAAGCAGGAGCAGGAGGAGGTCTACGCCCCGGGGACCTCCATCGAGATGAGTCTGAAGGGCCTGGCCGAGAGACGTACCGATATCTTTGGTGTCGGCATCGAGGAAACTCAGATCGGTAAAAAGGTAAGTGCCTGCTCTTATTGTAAAACTGACAAAAAGATTTGATATAATCAGTGGTTGAAACTCACTGTAAAATCAGTTAGACATGCAGGGCTGATTGCTACTGAAAGTTGTTTGTCCTGCCAAAAATGCATAAATAGCCCCCCCAAAATTATTGTCATTTATGAGTTTGTTTAAGCAATACTCAGTAATATGAATGGGGACAGCTCACTATATATATTCGATCCCAGACCTATAGGCTGATGAATTTTACCCGTTTGCTTGCTACTAGCAATATTAGTTGATTTGAGATTTTACACATCCAGCTGGGCAAATCTGTACGCCTGTTACAAAATTTGGGGGTCTCAGGCTCACTACTAAGTCAAAAACGTACTGACATTCCCATTTTTTACTGACAAACTTAGAAAATTACTGACAATGTGCTGTCGTTACTGTAAAACTTACGATTAATGAAAAAGAAGAATGATGTGAAAACCAACCGGGGAAAGGCACACACTTTTTAAAGATTTAAGCAAGGATAAATATATATAAGAAGGGGTACATTACATCTAGTTTTGTAAAAAGAAATTACTGGTTCCTAATATTTTTGTTAAGTCGTGTTAGTGTGGGTGTGGGACAGTGAAGTGAGGAATTTGTTTGATTATCAAATCAAATAAAAAAATAGTTCATAGTATATTTTCTTAACTTTTTATCAGTAATTTAGAATAATTAAAAATAAAGAACAATTTATATGCGGCAATATCATGACAGTAAAAACATCAGCCGGAGTTTAACTATATTTTAAACTTTGCCTGGGTCGAAATTGATTTATTGGAGAGAGAGAGAGAGAGAGAGAGAGAGAGAGAGAGAGAGAGAGAGAGAGAGAGATGAACGGCAACTAGACACGAAGATTGTGGGCACCTACGGTTAGCGAATAATCTTAATCTTATGAAAAAGAAAGATGTTCATAAAACCTGAATAAAATATATCATGACGGATATAAATTGATCAAATGGACAAAGAAATTTGCATCATTAAAAAAAAATTACACATTTTTATAAATCCTTTTCAAGTATACTAGATATTTTTTTCAGGTAATGTGTGTAGGGGGGGGGGGGGTTATACATGTATACTAGAGGGTTCGAAATAAATATTTGTTAGCACTGGTTCGACGGGCTTATGACTTTCAATTTTCACTACTTCGTAAAATATTTTACTAGACAAGTCCGCATTCTGCCTTATTAGTATGTTAACAGCATAACATCCCCTACGCCTACTTACTTTATGAGATGAAATTTAACTTCGGCACATAAAATTAAATTAATTCCAATTCACCGATAGCTACAGAGGGAAATGGTAAGTATGAAAAATGAAAAATTTTTGTTCAAATTGAATCATGATTAAAACATACTTAATACTTAAAAAACTAAATCGTGATCTACATCCCCCCCCCCCGGCAATGTGAATAAACAGAGTACTCTTCAAGTAAATTAAAGCGTCAGTACTGTTTGTATCTTTGAGAGAGAGAGAGAGAAGAAAAATATTGGAGAAAATGGTGCTACTGCTAATATTAGTCTTACCGCTGACCTAGTAAATATGAATATTTTCTGTAAGATTACTATAATTGCTACTAGTACATGGATTTTTATTGCTAGTCTGATAAATATTTATTAGTCTCCGACATTGGGTACATATGAACCCTGTGTAAGCGACCAACCAACCATTCAGTTAGATACCGGTAAAATGTTTTAAGTGACAAAATTAACAAGGCATAGTACAAGTTTATAAGTGGAATACTGTACTGTTCAATAGGGGAACTCCCATATGAGCAAATGAAACCGGAAATCCGTTAACAGGGGTAAAAAATTATTTGACTTGTACAGATGTCCGAGAACATTAGGAAACTGAATTACCTATGAGTAATTAATTATTCAATATTTAGAAGATTCCCTATTTTAACAAGAGACATCTGTCCTGTTTGTGAAAAGAAAATTAATACAACTTTCCAATCGTGAAAAGGGGGGGGGGGTCTCTAAAGTCAGATATCTGTGTGCAAAGAAATTAATAGATGAAAACTAACTTGATGAATAATTAATTTTAATTCTTTAATTGAACTGGGATAGATATATTCTACATATAAATTTAAACTTGATTTACACATAGTTAATTTAAATTCGTATTCTGAATTATTTTACAGATATCGATAATATTTTAGATAAGATTTAAAAAAAATAATAAAATATTTTTTTTTTTTCATCAAAAATTAAAATAAGACTGTTTTTAAACGCAAAGTATAACACACAGTCATTTTCACACCACTGCAGCCTCCCCGAGAGCGAGAACAATAGGGACAGTAATTATCAGTAAATGTCAGCACTTGTCTAAGTTTTTCAGCAGGGACAGTAAACAGGTCAGTAATTGTCTAAGTTTTTCAGCACCGACTAAGATTGTCAGCACTTTTCTAAGTTTATCAGCACCGGCAGTAAAAAGGTCAGTAATTGTCTAAGTTTTACAGTAACGACAGCACATTGTCAGTAATTTTCTAAGTTTGTCAGTAAAAAATGGGAATGTCAGTACGTTTTTGACTTAGTAGTGGCTGTCACCGCATGGTTATTTCAAACACTGGATATAATGGAATTTAAGATGGCTGGTAACTGACATAGGAGATTTTCTATTTTGTACTTATGTCATTTCTTAGAAAACAATGGCTTTTATAGGAGAAAAATTGCCTTGTTGATATGATATTGAGCGACTGAATTATTTATGACATGACCTGACAGGGGTAGACATTAACTTTTATTTCCACTTGTCCTTCGGGCAAGTGAACTACAATTTTGACTTGCCCGAATGCAAAATTTGGTTGCCCAAAATTTTTTAAGAAAAAAACCAGTTATTGTACCTTAATTAGTTGTAAATATAAAAGTTGACCAATTAATCTCTATTTTGAAGTTAACTGTTGGAAAAAAATGTTGATATGATGGTGATGCTATATTTGTAAATGTACATGTATGTAAAACACTTTCTTGTCATTTAACTATCCTGAAAACACACAGAGTACTGCAGGAATATTATTTTCTTACGATTTTTGTTTGAAATTGTAATTTTTCCTCTAAAAAAGCTGAGGTGAAGCCAGAAGGAAAAGAGTGTTATGTTTTGAATCAAGATACATCGTGCACTCGTGAATAATTGGCGTTCTTCATATAATTCTTTAACTGGGTAGAGAAAGTATTCTGTAATCTCTATTTCATAATAAGACTGTAACGTAAGTTGTCAGACAGATATATATAATCATATTTTTTAAACTACGAAAGAAAACAGAAAAACGAACCCGATTTCTGAATAAAGGTAAGATCCAGAAACGCTACCGAGGGATTCCGAATGCAATAACAATGTCCCGTTTTTGGCGGAAATCAAGTGTTTAATTTATTGTGTTGTTTAGAAACTTATGTGAGATTAAAAAAATGTTTCTATCAGAAATATCCACTTGCCCGATCGGACAAGTACATTGATAGTTTCACTTGCCCGAACTGAGAATTTACTTGTCCCGGGCAATCGGACAACCGTTAATGTCAATCCCTGCCTGAGGGTTTCGTTCTGGAAGAATGTATAATCAAGTTATAGGATTTTAATTTGTATATTTTAAAAATTATCTTTTGGTAAAATAATTTCAAAATAATTTACCATGTGTAAAAGCACATTGATTAGATGGGTAGCTTGTATGACCACATCTGTTTGCATAGAGCAGTCTCCCAAGATTGTGTGAACTGCAAGCTGCACCCTTCAATAATATTTCATGACATACTGTATTTTTATACCCCCCGCAAACGAAGTTTGGGCGGGTATATAGGAATCACCTTGTCCGTCTGTCTGTCTGTCCGTCTGTCCGTCTGTCTGTCCGTCCGTCTGTCAGTCTGTCTGTCTGTCCGTCTGTCCGTCTGTCTGTGCAATCGTGTCCGGTCCATATCTTTCTTACAGAGGGACATTAGAATCTACTACTCCACATTAAGATTGCTCATAACCTAAGGGTGTGTCATGACCTTGACCCAAGGTCATTTGGGGAAGTTCAAGGTCACTGGAAGAAAAATTTCATAATTCGTGTCCGGTCCATATCTTTCTTATGGATAAGCTTGGTAGGTTCTCATTTCACACAAAGATTGCCCATGACCCAAGGGTGTGTCATGACCTTGACCCAAGGTCATTTGGGGAAGTTCAAGGTCACTGGGAGAAAAATTTCAAAATTCATGTTTGACACATATCTTTTATGGATAAGCTTGGTAGGTTCTCATTTCACACAAAGATTGCCCATGACCCAAGGGTGTGTCATGACCTTGACCCAAGGTCATTTGGGGAAGTTCAAGGTCACTGGAAGAAAAATTTCATAATTCGTGTCCGGTCTATATCTTTCTTATGGATAAACTTGGTAGGTTTTCATTTCACATAAAGATTGCCCATGACCCAAGGGTGTGTCATGACCTTGACCCAAGGTCATTTGTGGAAGTTCAAGGTCACTGGTAGAAAAATTTAATAATTCGTGTCCGGTCCATATCTTTCTTAAGGATAAACTTGGTAGGTTTTCATTTCATACAAAGATTACCCATGACCCAAGGGTGTGTCATGACCTTGACCCAAGGTCATGTGGGGAAGTTCAAGGTCACTGGAAGAAAAATTTCATAATTCGTGTCCGGTCTATATCTTTCTTATGGATAAACTTGGTAGGTTTTCATTTCACATAAAGATTGCCCATGACCCAAGGGTGTGTCATGACCTTGACCCAAGGTCATTTGGGGAAGTTCAAGGTCACTGGAAGAAAAATTTTATAATTCGTGTTTGATACATATCTTTATTATACAAAAACTTACTTCTGAAAAACCCAGCGGGGGGTATTTTGTCCCGATTGGACAGTTCTAGTTATGTTTGAACACAGTGTGCTTTGAGAAAATAAGCAGAATTTTATGGTTTATTTATTCATAGATTGGAGAGGAGGAAACTAAAGAGCCGAAGAAAGTGGTCTGGGATGGACACACAGCATCCATGGAAAAGGTCACTCAAAAAGCCAGAGAAAACATCTCCATTGAGGAACAGATCAAGACTATCCACAAAGTCAAAGGATTCATGTAAGTATTGGCTCACATTACCAGAATGTTTGAAGTGGTTAGGCAAATATTTTTCTTGCCAAATTGTTCTATATTTTTCTGAGTCGAAAATAATTTTTTGCTGTGAATGGCAAAAATTACCTTGTTAATAATAGAGATTTTTGAAATGAAAAGCAACCAAAAGAATAAATAAATAAATAGGTAAATAAATAAGTGAAACTTAAACCTGGAAATTAAAAAAAAAAGTAATCATGACAAAATTTTTATGGATGTTCAATGAAGTCATTCATCTACATGTAATTCTTGGCTTGATTTTAAAGGCAAGATGCAGAGAAAGAGAAGATTGGCCCTAATATTCCTAAGAACCCCCCTCCACCCCCTAAAGCGGCTCCACCACCACCCCCGATATCTAAGCAGGCCAAGCCGCCCCCACCCCCTCCCCAGTCTGCTACAGCACAGCTCAACCCAGCCCCCCTGATGTCTCAGGCCGTCCCCCAGAGACCAGGACTGATGGTACTGCCTCCCAGACCCCCAATGCCAATAGTGCGTAAGTAAAATAGTAATGAGCCTTATTTTGTTTTGTTCAGGTAAAATGTACTGTAAATCACTTTTTATTTGTGAGAACTTTATTTTTGCATAATTACGCGAGACAGTGTGCTCGCGAAAATTTAATTCTCGCGTATAATAGTATTCCTTAAGAATATATAGAGCAATAACCACAATTTGCGAAAATTTTGTCTCGCTTATCAAGAGTCAATGACTATCTCGCGAAAATAAGGTGTCGCCAAAATTTAGTGATATACAGTATATAAAGTCTTATAAATGTTCTCAAATAATTGCTGCTGCTTTATAGTCTTTTATTAACTGTAAATTTTTCCGAGACCTTGCTTTCATGAGATAGAATGCTTGACACTTATAAGCGGAAGGAATTTCACAAAGTCTAGTTTCTGTATGTATAAGCTATACCAACAGAATTATTCCTGAGTACAAAATTTGCAAACACACAGTCTGGTGTAATTACACAAAAATAATGTTCTTGCAATTCAAAAAGTGGTTTCAATATTCTGATAATCCAATATTTTTTTGTTTTATAAAGGTATGCAGCCTCCAATGCCGGTGGCCTCACATCAGTTCATGCCTGGCCCCCCACAACCCCCGGGCTTTCCTCGTCACATGATGCCAGCAGGGGCAGCCCCACCCCCAGGAATCCCCCCGCCCCCTCAGGACGACGAGCCCCCAACAAAGAAACAGAAGACAGAGGACCAGCTGATTCCAGAGGAAATCTTCTTGTCCAGAAACAAGGTCAGTGGGTTTTAGTGTACAGAAACAATGAAAGTGTTAATGCAACAACAATATCAGTGACTGTTGGCCATTGCTATAGTGTATACCTGTACATATGCAGTAACACACCTACAGTGAAGTAAAAGGGACAGACATTTTTGCTTTGACTTAAATTTAATTTGTTTTATCTGTTTAAGTTCATAATTATTTTATAGCCATGGGGAAGAAAAATCACTTCTTTGTATTAAAGTGTTTAGATATTATTGTGATATTGGTGTGCACACTGTAAACATCTTTTATTGTATACCACATACTGTATATTAAAAAGTCATATTTACATTGAGTTAGGATATATTAATAAGTCGTTAATCTCTGTAGTAATGAAATGACTTGCACAAAATGTTCACAGTTGTTTACATACAAAATATATAAAGATTGGAAACGTATACTTTTTGGTAATATTTTGAACACTATTTTAAAGCATTGATGTTTCTGTTTCTTTTGAAGGCTCCTGTCACATTCAAAGTATCAGTCCCAAAGGTGGATGACAAACCAGAATGGAATCTTAAAGGACAGACTGTGTCCTTCACCTTGCCGCTTACAGACACGGTAAGTTCCAGGTCATGTTGTGATCTTCTATTCCATCTTTCTTATCTCTCTTCTGTTTGAAAATTTAATTGAAACTAGAACAAAAAAGATGAAGTATCTAAATAATGATGTGTGGTCCTATACATAGTCCTATGAAAATAGAATATTGAAATTCAGACTTGTTGAAATCCATCGATCCTGTCAGCATGGCCGGTAAAAATTTGTTTAAACCGATAACATTTAAGAGAACAATGGTCTGGGTGACCATTTGAAAAAAAAATTGAGCGTATTGCAAATTTGAGAAAGGTCGGGATCAGGATGTGTAGTTAAAGGTCACAAACACAGAAAAAATGGCAACATACACAGTATATTGACAATAGCCAATTATATTTGTTATAGCAAAGTCATAAAAGGTGTCATTTATGTCTATTGTTAAAGATTCTCTATCCCAAGAAAGGAAAATAACCATGATAAGCAGGGCTCCCACTGGACCGAAAATATTTTTCGCCACTTTTCGCGACACAAGCTTTAAGAAAAGGCATACTTACATCTGATTTATCGACAATGCAATGCACTTTTTGTTATTCAATTTTTTTATTATGTTTATCTGACACAGATATTGTTTTAAATTTGTAATGTTTAAAGCTTGTGGTAGTATCCATTTAAAAAAAGAATAATAATGTTGGAATTACACAATTAATTTGATATTGTATTGATATCAGCCAACTCTTGACAGAAAAGTCCTCTTGTTTATATTTTTTTTAGCCTGGGAAGGAGGGGGGGGGGGGGGCTAAAGACCTAGTTAAAATATGACATTTTTTTAAAAATGGAAATTTTCATAATTTCATTAATTAATTGTGAAAAGAAGTAAATTAAAAAGTAATGAAAATTAGGTTTGAAACTTAACAGCTTGGAGACTCTAGGGTTTAATATGCAAGCTCATGTTATTGTAATTTACTAACTAAAGATAATTCTGTTTCCAAACCAATTTCTTTTTCACTCTTTGTCAGTTAATGGTGTATTAATGTACACTTTTTTAAATTTACATTAGGCAAAATTTGAAGCCATTCTTGACAATTTTCGTCATGTTTCCCTACTTTCGGTTTTAAAAAAAACGATCTACATAGATCCAGATTTTGTTAATAAAAATCTTTTATTTACAAACTTCATCTCCGAATAACACTTTATCCCCCCTTGTTTAATCCAAATCATATTATTTCAAGCAATTTTGTAAACCTTTATTGCTCCAGGCTAGTTACCTAGTCAGCAAACAAAACAAAGAGAGTCTTAGCAAACTATGTAAACTCCAAAAGCGAGCTGCTAGAGTGATTTTGAATACAACTTTTTATACACCTACATCGGAAATGTTTTTACAACTGAGATGGATGCCAATTAATGATTATTTTATGTATAGAACTGTCATCCTTGTTTTTAAAGTTCTTCACGGATTAACTCCAGATTATTTAGATGTTTTTAAGTTTGTACATGAAATAAACAACAGAGCTACAAGATTGAGTCAAAGTAATTCATTGTACATTCCGAGGGCTAAAACAGAATATTATAGAAGATCTTTCACAATTTATGGTTCCCAGCTATGGAATAATTTACCAGAATTTTTTAAAGAATTGTCCATCTTTGCAAAGTTTTAAAACATCATACATAAGAAATTATTACCAGTCGTCAAATTAAAATATAATTACTTAGATGGTAAATATGATTGTTTTTGGTGGTAACGTAACACAAACCATGTGTATATATTGATTTTAGTAGCTACTTGCTTTACATTTACTGAGTATTATGTTTCTGTACATAATCATCTGTCTGTATATATGTTTTCAGGACCACAATGTAAACTAGTTGTAAACTAATTGTGCAATCCTGTATAAATAAAGGATATTATTATTATTATTATTATTAGCATTGTTCGTTCAAGCGAGACGTGATTTCCTGTATGTAGGTTTCAGTTTTCACACCTCTGCTGCATTAAGTAAACAAAGGGACTTATCTGTGTACATTGAATAAACAAAGAAGCTAACCAGGACTACACAAATTTTGTACATGGTACATCTAAAAAATCACTACATTTTCGCCACTTATGAATTTCTTTTCGCCACTTTTGAAAAAAATTCGCAATTGGCGACAATGGCGAATCACAGCTCGAGCCCTGATGATAAGGTACATGTATCTGGTCTGACAAAACTTTGACTGGTCCGACAGAACATTTGACTTTGTCGGACCAAATGTCTGACAGTGATTAAAGTATTTCAACAAGTCTTAAATTATCATTTTTCACAGAAATTCTTTCTGTTGCAGATTTCTGTAATGAAAGCCAAACTGAATGAAAGCCTTGGCATCCCAGCTGGTAAACAGAAACTTCAATATGAGGTGAGACTTGAGCTTTATATATGTGTATAAACTTGTAATATTACAAATGTTCCATCCAGGTTGATGAGCATTGTTAATGGTGGTTGAATGGGTGTGACACCATGGTCTTTGGAAACTTAAAAATATTAATTTCGTACAAAGAAATGCAAACCATTTTCACTAGAGATAGATCCATTCCAGAATAATCAGTTTAGATTTAATGAAAAACAGTGTTTTGTATAAAAAGTTGTTCTTGATTAATACCTAACTCATACATATCCTTATTTCAAGTGGGAAATTTTTTAAAATTTTCTAGAAGGCAACAGGGAAATTTTCGCCCATTTTATTTTCGCTTCTTTCGCCCTTCCCTTATTTGAACGAATTCAAAACGGGTGAATTAAAAGAATACAGTATAATTTCTTAAATAAAACTATGGATGTGCGAATTTAATGGGACAAAATTGTCTGCAAGTGTGAAAGGGCGAAAATAATGTGTGGCCAAAATAACCCTGTATACAGCAATAGACTTCCTTGTAAACACCAAACAAGGGTCAGCAGCATAGATGTACGGGGGTATGCTGTTTCTGTCCTGTATCATGTCAGGCACCATTGTTTCTGTTGCTTGACATTTGTTCTGCTGTTTTTTAGGGTATCTTTGTGAAAGATTCCAACTCTCTGGCTTACTACAATGTAGTCCAAGGAGGTACCATCTCCCTACAGCTAAAGGAGAGAGGAGGGAGAAAGAAGTAAACACTGGAGGAATATAAATAGAGACTGGATAGAAATGAGAGGGATATAAACAATGAAAAGTGGATATAAACAACAGGGACTGGATATAAACAATGGATACTGAATATAAACAACAGAACAACTTCATCATATTTACACTGAATTGAACATATAAATTAAAAAAAAAATCAGAAGGAATTCTATGAATTTTATAGTTTTATAAATTAATGAGTCTTCTCTGTTATTTATATAGCTAAAACATTAAAAAAAAGAATGTGCATAAAAATTTGAACATTTTTTGAAATGGTATAGATGCTTTTATGCAGTATGCTGTGTTTCATTATTTTCGGTTTCACAATCATGGTAATCAGGATCATTTGTCTGAGGTTTTATTATTCATATAAATTATATTTTACATCACAATAAAATATGCTTAAATTGAATTGCCTGGAATGCATTGTTTTGCTTCATTGTAAAAGTGATTCATTGTATCTGTTTAGGTCATAATTATGTTTTAAAGCTACTATGAATAAAAATCACAATTATTATACTGTAAGAATCTGTTCAAAATAAGCCTGATAAGGCTGTGAGTTGTGTAATTGTAAAATGTTAAATTTTGTGTGAATTTTTACTAGGTATTGTGTAAGATACTGTAGTAATATGTTGAATTTTCCACGTCATGGATTTCTGAAGAGACATGTTTTCACATACAGTGGACCTTCAGATATCCGGACGCCAGATATCCGGATGCTTCAGTATCCGGACGATTTTTCATCGGAACGAAATTTTTAAATGTTATTTTGTCTTGTTTAACTGTTGATTCAGATATCCGGATGCTTCACATATCCGGACAAATTAACTGGGAACCAAAGCGTCCGGATAAATGAGGGTCCACTGTATTTGTAATTCATTCTTATATCACCATCGTCTAGATGTACTTTAATATGGTATGAAATTTTGGGAGTGTAAGAAGTTCAAAAAAAAATATATAGCTGAATTCAAATACATTATTCAGAATCAAAGTAAATTTTCAGTTCATGTAAATTAATTCTTTGTAATGGAGCATTTTCTTTCAAATAAAAGTAAAAAAAATTAAATGTTTCTTCAACTTTAAGAACATAAATATATAGTCTTTAATTAATATGCTATTTTGCTGCTTTCAGAGTATTTAGATTGCTAAGTAAAGCATTCTTCATGAATGTAATTTTCAGGAGCAACAGCACTACAGATATGCAATGTAGAGTAAACATTTTTTTCTCGGTTCCAGGATAGTAGACAATTCAAGACTCTCCCTTCAAAATAAAATTGCATACAAGTACAATGTAATTACTGTAGTGTACACTATGTTAAGAAAATGGATAAAATTACTTCAGAAAGTGAAAAAATCCTGTTTAATTAGCCAATCTGAATGCATTGAAATTCAAAGAAATGCTAACTTGGTATACTGTAAACCAACTTTTATTTGCGTGCGAGAAATTTTTGCGATAGCATTGCGCATATTTATTGCCGTGAACCAGTCCTTCACGTCTCTTTCTATTAACAACAGATCCAAAAAGCCTTGGTCGCGAAAATTAATCGTTGCGAACTAGGTTACCCCTGGTAGATCGCAAAATAAAGCCTTGGACGCGAAAATCAATTTTTGCGAACTAGTTTACTCCTGGTAAATGGCGAAATAAAGTCTTCGCAAATAAAAGTTGACAAACAGTTTATATCAGAATCCAGTGAGACAAGTACAACAAGTTTGGGAAATTTATTTCTTCAAAGTTATTTTAAGGAAGATCATGAATAAAGCATATCCCATACAAGTGAAATTTTTAGCAAGATTCATTTCCTGTTCTCATGATATAAAATTGATATTTAGTTTTAAAGGGAAGTAATTTTAGCGTTATACAAAGATAATGATAACCCAGAAATGTGGAATTTTCAGTGATATTTACTAGTAAATTTAGCCCTCACTAAAATGCCAAAATTGAATCCTCACTAAAATTTCTGCTTATATATAGGTGGCATTTGTTATGTCCGTTTTGTATCCTTCCACCACACTTGAGCTCAGTTACAAAGACATCGTTCAAAGGTATTTTTATCATGCACTGAAACATATAATATTGATGCATATTTTGCACATTTGGAAGCCTACGATTATCAGAATTTAAAATTGATGCATTAGAGTTCCCGGGAGTGCCTCAACCAAAGAATAAGTCATCGTGAGCTACTCTCTGAATCATTTTCAGAACGTTTTATTTATTATTTTTTGGGGAAGCAGAGGTGTTAAATTAGAAACATATATTTTTTTGGTTTAAATTTAAATATTTTAGTAACAGAGTGGATTAGAAAAACAAAGTATTTAGGATCCCAAAATGTGTCGATTACCGAAAAAGAAGGTCAAATTGACCTACCTGTTGAACTTGGCCTTTCAAAATTTTATTTTGCAATAGGACTGGTCAGTCATGAATTGTTAAAACTGGTCTTCGTGCAAAATTAAATAATTAATTAGATACACACAATATTTCTTCAATTCTTTACATCCTCACCATATATTTCTACTTACAGTATTAAACATGGCAGAAAAATATATGTACATAAAACCATAGACATATATGGGTCTCTTGTAATAAGAAGTTTGTTATGAAAGAAGCAAATAAATGTGCTATATGATTCTGAATTTTATCAGATTGACATAGAAAGGCATTTTATTGTTTGTAGATGCTTGAGTTTCTAATTGGCAGTATCTTTTGATTTTGGAGAAGAAATCTTCCAGTAATCTTTCTGAATTCATATGAAGCAGGATATATATTAAGAAACTTAATATAAAAAGATGTTTCTTGTTGTGACCTTCAATTCAACCTTTAGGAATTATCGAAGTCGTTTTATCAAATAACAATATCCTTTTTTAATTGCTACACTGATACCAAACATGTATGTCTCCATGTACTCAAAATAAAAGATTCCAAGGAGTCTTACACATCTGTTTTATATTTGAATATCTTACTAGAAATATACATTACATGTAATTGTAAAATTACAAAAAAAAAAATATTTGATAAACAAGATAACTTTTCCCTTGTCAATACTTCCCTCATCTCCCAGCTGTTTCGTTACGCAAGAGTATGCTTTACGTAGAGGAATAAGGCAAGTTATCGACTATTGACAAAAAAGTTGATGAAACGAACTCGATATTAATCTCATTTAAACAAGAAGACCACAAGTTTACAAATACATTCTCTCATGCTAAACTGACTTTTTTATTTTTCAAATTGTCAGAAAACTTACGAAAAATCTATTTAAGGAATTCAATCAAAAATATACTTATTATAACGTTAACAATCCTTACATCAAGATTTTGTGTGTAATGTGTATTTTCATGTCTTCATGTGTGTTAGAGTCACGTGACAAGATTGTGAAAATTTTTGAGAAATTTATACCAAATTGGTGGTAACCCTGATCTCAGTTCATGACATACCAATGTTATTATCAATACTTTTGCCAATGAAACATATGGAGATAACGAACAGTATTCAAGACTGAATGTCGATAAAACAATACAAAACAGGAGCAGAGCAAACAAGGACCTCCAAAACATCAGAGGTGGGATCAGGTGCCATGGAGGAGTGAGCAACCTCTGCCGACCGGTCACAACCGCTCACCGTGTGCTCCTTGTCATGATCGGGAAATAACGGGAAAATACGTCGTCAATTCAGTGTATAAATAATGGACTAACAATTAGTATGAAAAACGTCAGTCAGCATTTGACTCAATGATAAATTTTATTTGCTTACAAGGTCATTGTATCGACCATAGAACTTACGAAATGATGACTTTAAACGCGTCTGCTTACATTCTTGATACATCAACTTGTTTGTCAATAATTTACCTCGTTTTATAAAAATGTTCATACGTAGAGCATACTCTTGCGTATCCAATCAACTGAGATATACATATATGAACTCCGTATGCAGGTGATGAAGGCATATTGCTGCATAATTAAGGGAAGTTGACGATTGAAGAGTTAAAGTCATCCCGTTTATAAAGGACCTTGGTTGTTAGATTACCATTAATGTCTTATTCAAGTAATATATCCAAATAGGAAACAAATGTGTCAGACTCTGTGGTATCTTTTATCTCAAGCTCACCAGCAGTGGCGTAGCATCGTTTTTGAAAGTGGGTGGGGGCAGCCAGAGAAAAAAAATTTTTTACTTACCTGAAAAAGTTGACTAGCAAATAAAAAAAAAAAGGAAAAGTTGCCCAAAGTCGAAAATCCTATTTCGCCCCCCCCCCTGCCCCCCCGGTTGCTACGCCCCTGACCAGGATGTATCGTATCGACATAAGAATGGAAATTACCATTGTTAATTGACAATACGTCGTCGATATATCTAAATGTCAAGTTGAAGGCCACAGCAAGTGTTTTCTTCTTTTTTTCACACATATTTTCCACAGATTCTGCTTCATATGAATACAAAAATAGGTCTTCTTACAACGGGACGATTGGAAGACCTGGTCTCCCCAAACAACATAGATATTGTTAATCAGAAACTCTAGCATCTTTTTGATGTCAACTTCAGAATACTTGTGTTTTAAATCAGAATGTTTTTTTCACAAAATAATTTTGCAAATGACCAATGGCAAGGTAAGTAAATTTACGGGTTCCATTTTCATTGAAAAAAAGCTGTCAATGATAATAAAAAAAGCCTGGACTTTAATTTATCGTGTGTGGAATTTATCGCCAAGAACCTGGAATTATTGAAAGCTCTGACAAGAAGACATTCATGCAGGAATATTTTTAGACCCCCAAACCTTGTTTGCAGAGATGGAGGGTTTTGAAAAATAAGCTTCAACCCAGTAACGAAGAATAATGAAATAATTTAAAATAAGTTTGAAGGAAAGAGGATTGTTTGATTGCTGTTTAACGTTCCTCTCGAAAATTTTGACCTTCTGCGATACGGTGACCTCGGTTTTTTAATGGTTAGTAACTTTATGTTTAGTACAGAAACTGTAAATTTAAATATTTTATAAACAAGAGGAAAATATTTTTATATTTATCAAAACAATACTTAAAGAATAAAATCAAATATTACCAAATATGTCATATACACTGTAAAATATTCCAATTAGGAGAAATGTCAAGATTGACACCTTTTTTGACATAAATAAACAGACATTTCTATCGATTCCCGACCAGCAAAAGATGTTGATAATAATGTCATATCTCATAATACATATAAACAGAAATCAAATCTCCTGACATCCCTTTGAAGATTGAGACACGTAAGGAAGTGTCTTTTCTTAGTTAAATGAGGTACAAAAATAAGAATTTCACAACTTCAGAGTAGTCCTGTTTCGTTTTGTCTTCACAATCACTGCAATGGCTAACACCGCTAAAACACAGACTCCAATAATCACAGATATCACAGTCACTGGCGTCAAGGCTGAGTCCTTCTTCGACTTGACATTTGTCACCTGTTTGTCATCTGTAAGTAATAAAGATTGAGCATACATTAAATGCATCTTACTGTTTGAACTTATCAATGGAGGGACTACTTTTTCCTCCTTTACATTAAGAAATGCTTTATTGGAAACGTACAAAGTCATTTTTATTATGGTTCGTTACTGCCTTCAAAATTAACAATTGTATTTACTTGCCTACATCCATTTTAAATGTATCATCCTCATCTGATAAATCAATGTCATTCTTATGTCCCCTTAATCTTCTGACCACGTGACTATGACACGTGGTTTGACAGGCGGGAGAATGATCGTTTGTATGACAGAATGTAGCGTTACAGTATAGACTGATAGAATCGTGGCTGTTGGTGAACTGAATATACTCAAAAGAGAATCTTGTTTCGTGAGTAGACTGGTAAAAGATCACTGCATTTGGATCAACTACACACCTACAAAATGATACATCCACTCATACAGTAAGTTCTCGTACAAAACGTGTGCCAGAACCATGAAAAACGTTTTTTATTCTGTGAAAGTTGTATATTCATAATCCAAAAGATCGATTAGGTTGCAGGTAATGAGCAAGAGCTTAAAATTTGTATTTTCTGATATACTGTTTTGCACTTTTCTTACAATCTTATGATAGACAATAGAAATCTTGGACTGAAGAAGCAAGAATCAAATATTTTACCCATTTCGAATTATGAAATATTGCATCTTTGATTCGGTGACGATTGCTGGTGTTGTATAACAATAGGACAGCCTCATTTTGAGATGGCTATCTGTGACGTCACTAAATGCCCTTACATATACTTTATCTCCAACTTGAGAATTATCAAAAGACTTTGAGCGCGAAAGCGAAGGATCAGAAAAATACTGAAGGTGCACAAGTCGGTCCCTTAAAGTAGAGGAAGCACTGTTTAGAGAGAAGAATTTGCAGAGAAGAGTTCTCCGGAGGCGCACTTCTCGGATTATGAAGTGGTAAAGTCGATCATGGCGGGGACACATCAGCTCACTGCTGTATTCCAAACCTTCTGTTAAATTCTGAAGAGAAGGAATAAAAGAAGACTTGTATTAATTGACAAAATTTAATTATTTTAACTATCATTGAAATGGCCATTCTAAAGTGATGGTTATAATTTGAAAACAAATCATTTTATGACTAGATCGACCAAAATTTTAAATTTTACTTATTTCGTGTGATTCAATACTTTCTCTGTATGTGTCTTCGGAAATAATAAATCGTAAGGAATTATTACTTGATGCACTAAAATCAAACCAGATACTTGCATTTTAAAGGAATTTAATTATAACAAATTTAAAAGTATCTGTATATCATTTATATTTTAAAACAATTGAGACCAAAAATACCTTTTCTTTGGTGTTGCATTCCGAGTAATCATGCCTGAAGTATAAGTAACTTCCATTCAAATATCCTGTGCAGTTTATATTGTCGATGCCTATATAACATTCATTAGGCTTAAAATCCGGGTATTTCGATTGTAAAGAGGGAAGATATACGGAAATGTTCCATGCGTTGTCAAGACATCCAACTGATACGATTGAGTTTACATCAATATCTATAATAATATTGAGATAAACTTAAATTCTGTTGAATATGTACAAATGAAAACAACTACTAGTAATTCGCTCTTTAATGGAAACAAGTCAATCTTTGGCAACAAAACTATATAATTTATTGTTTTTTTAACAAAAACAGATGCCTGCATGATTCCATTAACTCTTAATTTGATCAAAACAGTCTGGCGTTTTTGATACGAATCCCAAATCTGAGATTAAGAATCTAAAAGTAATTACAAACCTATATGTCTTTGGAAACAACATTTTTACAACTTATTTTAGATTTTCTGAGGAACACAATTATGCTTTTAAGAAAAAAATAAAATAGAGTTAGTCAAAAAGTTTACAATAAGAGTTTAAAAAAATAGATGATTATTTTTGTATTGCATTGCATACCTATAGTTTCACAAGAGTTCCCAGTAAAGCCACTCGAACACGAGCAATGATACCCATTGTGGTGATTAGATTGATAACAAGTGCCGTTATTTTGACAAGGATTGCTACGACAAGCGTCCTTTGGTGTTGTTCGTGCAAGTCCTTAAAATAGAATTTAATACGAATTTAATATAAAGATTTTTTTTTCAATAAAAAATCTATATTGCAAAAAAGTGAAAGACTAAAACAGTATGGCCCCTAAGATTATATTTGATAAAAAAAATATAATGAATATATATGCCTTGCGAATCTTGAAGGACCACAACATGTTTGCAACAGTTTTCTAAAATAATTCATTCGTTGGATATATTATTATGTCTCTATTATGAAGTTTCAAAGGTACTGAAATGAAAAATGACTAAACTTTATATATAGTTAACCATTTTTAAATTTTGTTTAGTCTATACATTTTACCACTAACTGAATATATTATGCTTTCATTGTAAACAAAACTTGATCTAATGTTCAACGAAAATTCCACAGGAAACTGAAATAAGATGTAAAATCCTTATCACCCATGAGAAGGAGACAGCCCTGTTCATATAGAACAGAGCAAATATAATGTAAGAACTGTTTTTGAATTGGACAAAATTTACCATTTCGACAGTACGGTCCCCCAAATCCCTGAGCACACTGACAGGTATATCCGTAGTTAGCGCTGACAATGCAGGTTCCGCCATTCAGGCAAGGAGTAGAAGTTAAAACACAAGGATTACCCCTAGTTGTTCTTTGAAAGGAAGGAACTTGTCCAAAGTCAATGGGATCTATAATAAAAAACACTCTGATGTGGATATTATCGCAAAAAGTATTGAAATAGTTAAATAGTGTTCTATGTAATAGATAAAAGGCTAATGTAGCACCATTTCTTAATGAATAAAATATATTTTAAACTAATGTAGCACCATATGAATATAGAAAAGGTGTTCATAGGAGAAAATGGAAAAATACAATATGTAAGTTACATTTGTAAAAAAAAAAATAAAGGTATGGATACATTAATTTTGCACAAATTAGCAACTTCGTTTTGACTTTAAATCTCTTATAATGTTAAATTTTAGAAATAACTCTCATCACTCAAGAAACATTATGTCTGTATCATAGTTCGATAACGCTCTTTTCACTTAATTTTAATTCAGCGTCCACTGTCCATGTTACCCAGAGCATTCGAGACACATTCATATAAAATTTACCTATACAGGGATAGTGAAAAAACTACTCACAATATAGCAATTCAGTTTCTAATGTCCGTGATACCTCGAGCCTTTGGAATCACAGTCACCTATTTAATTCCTTACACAGAGACAAAAGTACTCACCACAAGAAACTCCGGCATCCATTACCCCGAGCACTGGAGCTGTCACTGATACAATTCTGTACACAGGGACAAAACTACTCACAACAGTGACAAAACTACTCACCACAAGACACTCCAGCATCCATTAGCCCGAGCATTGGAGCAGTCACCAATACAATTCTCTACACAGTGACATAACTACTTACAACTCTGACAAAACTACTCATCACAAGACACTCATTCATTACTGCATCCATTAGCAAAACTACGATGCCTTTGGAATCCAATACCACAGGCAGTCATCTACAATTCCCTACACAGTAACAAAACTACTCACAACAGTGACAAAACTACTCACCACAAGAAACTCCAGCGTCCTCCCCATGTCCACAGTCTGTGTTCCCCCAACCATTGGAGGCGCAGTCTCCTATATCTGTCTCATTGCCTAGACAGTGTAAATTATCCTGCCAGATAGGACCATACCCATTGGAGAAATAAGCGGTCCTAAATACACGACTGCAAGAGAAATTACTCCATATAAAAATATATACACTAGTGACAGACATAACAGCATATTGGGTTTGCAGCAATTCTGATTCTGATGGTGAAAAGAATGTTTTGCCGGGCACAGAACACAGAGAACAGTAATATTTCATAACTATAAAACCAACAGGAAAAGGTGAAGGTTCGAGAAAAAACGACTTTACTTGAAAAAAAGAGAGAAAGAATTTGTACTTGGCCCCTTTATATCCCAGCATTTTACAGATGACGTCGCCGTCGGGAATGTCAAAATCGTCATCACAGACCGTTCCCCATTTCCCATCATGCAGCAGTTCTACTCTGCCTTCAGTTTCAAATCTTCCATTTACAAGTCGCACAACTTCAAAACAGAAAATTACACATGTAGTTCAAAAATAAATGTGAATGAAATTTACTCATCTTTATATAGATTATGGCGACTGACCCCAGTTTCATAAAGATTTAAGCTTCTTTACAGGTGGTTCTTGTTGCATTTTTTTGGTTTACACGGCATAATCTATTGGGTTTTTTAAATAATAAAACTATTATTTATTTGAATTGTTTCTTTAATTTTATTTAAAGATGTAATATAAAACTCTTACGTGTGGGAGCACTGGTTGTTGTAACTGTCAAAGAAAGCAATTCAATATACATGTACAAAACGAATGAAAAAACAATTATTTTTCAAAAAAAATTATACAGTAATGCAAGTTTGAAAATACTTTGTCGAGTGTGGTAAGGAAATATATATAATCATACAATTATATTCTGCATCACTTACCTATCGGCTCAGTTGAATAACCTATTTCAAAATAAAGTTAATTTTATCACACTCTTTATTTGCTGAGGAAGAAATATACACAAACCTAATATATTCATGAAATTCCTTCTTAAGAATTCAAACTATTAGTAACTGGATTTCCACCAACACTATAGCTTCTTCTCATCCTAGTTGGGGTTATTTTTCATGTCGTAAGTAACGTGTAATTTACAATTCTCAGTAATATTGCTTTAATTGTATTAAAATATGTTCATCCCAAACAACTTATATCACCACAGGTGCTTTTGATCTTATAAACAAAATAGGAAAGTAAAAGAGACAAAAGCACTTCAAGCGAAATCAGGTGACTAGAGGGTGTTTATAAGTTAAATGAACTGGGTGTTTATCAGGTAAATGAACTGGGTGTTTATCAGGTAAATGAACTTTTTTAAAAGTCAAATTTAGTTTAATAAATCATAAACTAAATTGCCTGAAAGATCAACCCAAGAGTAAACTTGTGTGTCGTTAAGTAAATGTAAGAAATTGTGTTCATTCACAAAAGTTATGTTAACGCCCTGTAACCTCAACTCATTCATCATTTGAGTGTGGTGTTTTAACAAGTCCCTGTTTGCTCTACTACCAATACGTATGGTTTCAATGACCATTTAAGTTTGATTTCTGTTCGTTATTTTCATATTTCACAGCAGAAAACACAAACCTGTGCAATGAAGATTGACAACGTCATCGCAGAATCGTTGGAAAATATAACAGGAGGATAGCACGGGAGATGAACAATACATTAGTTGTGACCGATAGCGATCGTAAGCAAAGGTTCTGAAACACGGAAAGAATTAGTTGGTGAAAGAAAAGCTTGTTTATTGAAGACAATTTTTTTCAAAATTCAAAATCACATATTTTCGTGGGGCAAATTTTCGAGGTTCGAGAAAGAACTATTGATTTGTGGGGATTTGATTTCGTATAATAATAATAATAAATATAATTTTTTTTTTACATTTTGTGGTGGTCATAAATTCATGGGTCTCTCCATTCCTGACGAACAATAAACCCCCACGAAAATAAGTGACTTCACAGTATTTAAAACAAAAAAGTTTCTAGAGAGCAGTTAAAGAGGTAGGCAAAAACCTTCGAAACACATTTTCCACAAAATTTTTGTCTTTAAATTTTGAATTATGTGATGTCGACTCATAACTCACTTACAGGTCAAAACTTTTAGATTAAATTTCAACAGGGTTTTAATATCTATTGATTTTCACTGTTATTCATATATCCAGTAAGGTTAACCTTTAACATTTGCTTATTTTATTCGTGCAAACATTAAATTATCAAACAAAATATATCCAGTGCAAAGTTAGATGTTACTCATCAATTCATCAAATATTTTATAACGTGATCAGTGTTTGAGTAAAGATAAAGATGTTGAAATTGGTCAAGTTTATTATCTTTAAGACAATGTGTAAACCAAATTTATGAAACAGATATTACAAATTTACAAGTCACCTGGGTACTGAAAAAGTTAACAAGTTGTGAAAATGTCATTAGAAACTGGTCCTGGGGTATATAATGGCCGAACATGCCCTGACAACCTCAGTTGCGGTTTCTTCCTAAGTAAAAGCATCTAACTGTATAACTTGTTTTCTTTTAAGCCAATTTGCAGAGGCCGAAAGCAGGGGCAAGCAATCTCCTCACTAGACTATAAGCAATTCCTCGCAACAACATAGCATATAGCAAAAATACAATTATAACAAAGGCTACACTATAATACAAATACACGTAGTAGAACCTTATTCGATTCACAGGTGCTTGAGGATAGGACCCCCGATATAGACCCGCGGGCCTTGTAGACTTTTTTTCACACAAATTATATATGGATGACACATTTGTAATCTAATCTATTCTATAAAATCAGATAATTTCCTTAAACAAACATTTTATAAAAATTTCTATCCCACATATATATATATAAATTAACTTTTATATATAAGAAAGTAGAGTAGATTTTATAATACGTTTGTTTTAGGTAATTTTTCGAATTGTTGGTAAAGATTTTATCACAAATATGTCATTGAAAGATAATTTATGAGAAAAAAGTTGAAAAGACCCAGGGTCTATATCGATGGGGGTGGGGGGTCCTGTCCTCAAGCACCTTGATTCGATTTACATACCTTGAATAAGAGCTGAACTTTAAACCTTTGGAATTACACATGGCCTCTCCTGCCGTTTTAGTAAAGGAACTGTAACAAATTTCCCGGCCATTGAGCTTTACATGCCCTCGGTGTCGATAAGGAAACTGAACATCAGATACGCCTTCAAGTTGTTGAAAATGTCATCAGGAGATATTGTTAATTCAATTCAACATTTATATAAACTTTAGTCTGCTTGGTTATATTTCATATTATAATAATAAAGTTATTGAAAGGGGTAGTGGGTATCATAAGATATATCATTGAAAATGTCTGCAAGAAATTATTAAAGTAGCCCGTTAATGAAAAATAAACTTATAACCTGGCTCAACATTATATTTCTCATTTTGCAGGGGAAAAATACGTTTCTTTAAAGAACATTTTTTATTAAGAGAGCAATGAGTAATATATTAACAAAGAAATAACGCACATTATACTGCATAATATATATATATATATATATATATATATATATATATATATATATATATATATATATATATATATATATATATATATATATATATATATATATATATATATATATATATATATATATATATATATATATATATATATATATATATATATATATATATAGAGAGAGAGAGAGAGAGAGAGAGAGAGAGAGAGAGAGAGAGAGAGAGAGAGAGAGAGAGAGAGAGAATAATACATACCCTTTTCCATATCACATCCTGTATCAGCCCGATATATATAATATCAGCCAGAGGGCCGAAGGCCCGAGGGCTGATATTGGTATATACAGGATGTGATGTGGAAAAGGGTATGTTTTATTATATTTATTACATACTTAGTAATAAAATACAGAACACATTCAGTTGAGAAGAAAATAAGTATATAATATATTCTTACATACATGTACATAGTCTTATGTCTCATACGATTTGGGTTTGTTTCTACTTCTATTTCAACGCACTATCCGTAATTTGAAAATATTCTATAGTATTACATGTATTTGTAAATTATGATTAACCTTATTTTCAAAAAGTTAAAATTATATGAACCCACCAAAAATTGTGTATGATCACAAGTACTGTTATTGTGGTTTAATTTACTAAGAGTGTGATAAATATATAGCCCTGCAGGGCTGATATGGATTTGCAGGGCTGATACGGATATCAGCCCCGCAAATCCATATCATTATATTGTGACTCAGCCATATATATATATATATATATATATATATATATATATATATATATATATATATATATATATATATATATATATATATATATATATATATATATATATATATATATATACGATAACTATATAACTATTCAAACATAACTTCAATCAAAGATAACATAACTACTTACCTATGGTGCGTGCATAAACTGTAAGTTAAGAAAGAAGATATTACACTTGTGGATTGCATACATGTTTTAAGAACAAAAACTTTCTTTTATAAAAAAAAAAGTAGAAACCCCAAAAGCAAAGATGCAAACGATAACAAACAATGAATCATAAATTATTTTTATATAACCACACTAGAATAACAGGAAAGATTTAATATTAATAAAATGAACTTAAATTTTTTTTCAGATGCTACGTTGTAATTACAAGAGAATATCCTCTATATACCTACTTGGAATGGTTAACTTGGAGGTCCTTTGCTGTGTCGTAAGTTTCGTTGATTGTGTTGTTTTTATTGTTGTATGTGCTTTATGTCAAGAAAGCATTTCAGTATTAACAAACAAGTCAATTAAAAAAAAATTTCCAAAGAATGAAACACAGAAATATTCAAAGCAACTTATATACAAAAACCAATTAGGTTTCCATAATTTATGAATAATCACCTAAATACATGTATTGTTATTAAACTACGGATGGAAATTTATTGTATTTAATCTTGACAAAGATTTTAAGCATTTCTAGACAAATTGATATTAAGATTTCGATGCATTTTTTTTTTAGTATTTTTTGTAATTTTTGCAATTACGAAAGCAGGTATTGTGTAATTTCTGAAAATGATCATAAAAATATCATTTCAGTTGCCATGGCAACGAAATACACTACAATCATGCTGGAATTTCCATTTATTCAAGAATAAGTTTCATTCTAGTTTATTTGCTTAGTTAAATATAATAAAAAAAAATTTTATTGTTGTGTTGAAAATAATGAGCATGTTGTACATTTTTTACAAACCAATTTCAAGTATTTGGGGGGTTGGGGGATTGGGGGTTGGGGTTGGGAGGTAATCACCAGAATTTAGCATTTTTACATATAACGTGTTACCCGTGCATTGATTTGATATGGCAAAATCTCTCAAATAGTGCACAAAGTTTAACTCAAGCTAGCAAAAAACTGGTACAATCAATAAAAGAATTTCTGTATATTATTTTATCGTAATTATTTTTTTCTATCCTACAGTCCAAGATTTATTTTGATATTTGCAGTATTAACGAAGTTATGAATAATTTTTCACACTATACTCAATTTGTAAGTCAGATGCATAGAAATGCGTATATGCCATGTAAGGGGTTAAATCCAGTTAAGACCAATTAATATATAAACATAATATGATTGATGTGTTTGTTTTTCTTTTTATTAAAGCTTATATTTCTTACGAAACTTCAGATATAAGATCTTGTCTTAGATGTAAAATAAAACAAAGAAAATGCACTTTTCTTTAAAAGATAAAATAGCCTTTGCATAAACGGGTAAAAAAGTGGTGGGAGGTCAAATTTAACTATGACTTTTGATACACGTGCCTAAATTTAGATGTGATAAGATTTTAAATTCATGTGCTAGAATAGTGCAATGTGCATGTAAAAACGATGTACCTTATCATAATACTCCGCTCAATTCTCATTTGAGTGAAAAAGTTGGGCCAAACTTAAAAAATTCTTTGTTTGCAGTTGCCGCCCTATAAGTTCTCATTTGGAAAAAAAATTGGATTTTTTTTAGATAAAAATAAAAGAGGTTTTCATAGACCTACTACACATGAATAAGCATTTTT